ACGTTTATTTGAAAGGCAGACTTACAGAGAGGAGAAGAGAGGGTCTTCTATGTCAACCCGAGCCTAGGCGGTTGGCACAACAGGTGAGCCTGCAGCCCTGTCGCGGTGCTTGGTTCAAGGCCCAGCTCCTTGCTCCTGATCCAGTTCCCTGATGACGTGCACCCTGGGAGGCGGCTGGTGCTCGCTGCTGGTCTTAGGTGCCCACCATGCCCACAGGATGCCTGGAAGGAGCTCTGTGCATTTGGCTTTGGTCTGGAGTGAGCAGCTGCAGAATAAACCAGTGAAGGTGAGATCTCTTGGCTTTTCAAATATGATGAAATGAAATAAATAAAAGAGAATGTGCCAATCTTGAAGACAAAGTGTGAAGGCAAACACACATGTATTTAGTCCCACACCATACTGCACACAGTGCTAGGAGGCACAGTCGGGTATGAGGGTCAGCGGCCCCCTGGGTGACAGTGCTCTCTGCTTCTCACTGTCACACTTCCCCCTGAATGCAGGGGTCCTGTAGGAATCGCTCATGTTGGTTTCCAACGGGCTGGGCTGAGTACTGTTTAGTTCTTTCTTATGCATTCTTTCTCATTATGCAAAGATGCACTGTACTTATTACTTTGTCTTATTCCCTTATGCATTTGCAAGAGTTCTATGGATTCATGCTTTTAAATGAACCTTTATTTACTGTAGTCATATATACACATATTAATGTATCACCTGTAACATCTTTCTTATAAGCAGGTTCTTTTTGTAAAAAGGATATATGGTAACTATATCTTTGTTCAGTGACTAGTTTGTATTAGTAATCCCCCTGAATTATATTTTGATCCCTTCAGAACTCAAGTTTGCCATAAATAAGTGAAGGAGACAACAGAATTACTTCATTGGAATGGAATATAAGTAGATCTAAATAGTTCTGGGGGATGTTTCCAGGCCCTTAAAATATGGCCACAGATGGTCAGATCCATAAAGAATGTTCATTTGGCTTTAAAGATTGCAGAACTGTGTAACCAAAAAAAATCTATTAAAACTAGTATTTATTGCTTATTCTTATTCATCTTTTTGCCTATGAGGACCCCAAATGACCAACTTAGAATCCTGTTACATTATTCAGGTCACAAATCTGACTCGTCCTGATGAGAAAATTAGGGTGCAAAAATATACAACGGGCCCCAATTTATACATGTGTGACTTTTCCATTCTGGGTGAAGGTAGGGGACACTGGCAGACTTTCCTATAAGCACACTGCTGAGAGAAATGCACTCCCCTGAGTCCCAGAGCTGAGGACTAAAAGGAAGAGCCTTCTCCTCAGACTGCGTGCAGCCCAAGGTCAAGGGAAAGGTCAAGAGGCAAGCAAAATAGGGGAGGGATGCAGGTGCGTGATCATGGTTGGTATGCCAAAAAATGACACAGAATGATTACAAACAAACGATGCAAGGCCCTCCACACCCTCCAGAGCTGACAACCCAGCTTTGAAACAGAAGTACAATGCTATATCCCTTAAGCATTTTCCCTGTAAAACTGGCTCATTAAAATAAAAGCATGTAGAACTTTCATTCTTGTGACTGACAGTATAAAATATTTTTCATGAGTCATAACATGAAAGTGTATGCAACTTAAATTACAGTCCTAGGATTCAAAATCAATTTAGTTGTTCTGACTACTTTTTGCACATGTGTGCAGAGCTGGATGAAGTAAAATGCCCAGTCTGTGGGACTGCATAATTTCTGCAAATTTTTCATATGATGTTGCTTGTGTGTAAAATGTCCTTACTTCCAGCAACACTCCAGTGTCTGAGTTTATTTATCAGCAGCACTCTGGGCATCCACGCAGAACCAGACAGATACTCCTTGTCCCATAGAAACTTGCACTGACGGTGGGCAGTGGTAGGGCAGAGCTAGACTGGGGAGAGAACAGCAGGCTTTGATGGTGACTGTGAGCTTCCCAGCTTGCCTCTGCACAGGACGGAGACAAACAGAAGGTTCTGACCCACGCAGAACATAGGAAGGGTGGTAGAAATGAAACAGAACTGAAGGTTGAACTCAGAACTTACATCCTGAGAGTAACCCTACACTATATTCTGTCTGTGCAGGTAAGTTTGGAGGCTACAGTCACTCTTACACCAGTGAAATCAAACTGATGATCCAGATAGGCGTGCTGTAATGCCTGTGCCTGCATGAGCTGAGCAGCTGCTTGCGATGCCCACGTACCATTTTGGAGGACCTGGTTCAAGTCTTAACTACCTCACCTCCAGCTCCAGCTTCCTACTGATTTACACGCTGAGAGGCCACATCTGGTGGCTCAAGCGCTCAGCCCCTCCCACCCATGTGGGAGACCTGGCTGGAGTTCCAGCCTTGGGGCTCAGCCTGGGTCAGCCTTGGCTGTTGCAGGCATTTCTGTTGTAAACCCGTAAAGATCTCATTCTCTCTGTATTTCAAATAAAATGAAAGTGTTAACAATACCAAGAAATGGGTCAGTGCAATTGGAATGAGCAAGTTTATTGTATGGGCATATATGGGTTTTTACATGGTGGTGAAAACATACAAATATTAGACAAAACACACAAAACATGTATAACTTGGTGCAGGAGGTGGGTTCCTGGCATGTTTCAAAATCCAGGGGGGATAACAGGCAAGGTTGGTGAATTTTATTACATCTTAGGAAGAAACATATTTTGCTACAAAAGGAGCCTGGAACATCGTAAACACACACACACACACACACACACACACACACAAAGCACCTGAGAAAACTTGGATAAAAAGTGCCAGTATCTAAGTTACTGTAAAAATTGAGGGGGGAAGACTTCCCCTGTACTTAGGACATACGTACCACAAATCAATGTTCTTTCTTAATGAGGAAGACGTCGGCTAAAGCTCTAAGCTCTCCTGCGTCTTCCTTTAGCTCTCAGGTTGGTGAGAATAAGATGCTTTTTGGGGTCCTCCCTACTACCGACTGTTCTGTAGGTTTTACATTTTTACATTTTAAAGAACATTGAGAACAAAGCTGGAATCCATTTTAACCAGTTTCGATGAATCAACAACCAACTCAATTCAATGCTTTTTAAAAAGCCCCCTTGGGTCTCGTGCCGTAGTCTAGCAGCTAAAGTCCTTGCCTTCCATGTGCTGGGATTCCATATGGTGCCGGTTCTAATCCCGGCAGCTCCACTTCCCAACCAGCTCCCTGCCTGTGGCCTGGGAAAGCTGTCGAGGACAGTACAAAGCCTTAGGATCCTGCACCCGCCTGGGAGACCTGGAAGAAGTTCCTGGCTCCTGGCTTCGGATGGCCGCAGTACCGGCTATTGCAGTCACTTGGGGAGTGAATCATCAGACAGAAGATCTTCCTCTCTGTCTCTCCTCCTCTCTGTATATCTGACTTTCCAATGAAAATAAAATAAATCTTTAAAAAAAAGTCCCCTCTCCTTGTGAAAGTCAATCATAGATTCCTCCGATAAATTCCCCAGACGGTTAGCAGCAGCCTCAGGGGACACTCACACCTGTGCCTGGGGAATGCCGCCACCGTCCACCTCCACACTCCCCGAAACCCCACGGGGGACCTAGACCCTGCTCTGCACGAGACACTGTGCCTGCCCAGCACGCCCTTCCCTACCAGACGGCCAGAATGACCAGAAACAATACACTCCAACGGTCTCCTGACACGCTCCTCCACCGCCCTATACTGTTATGCTTTTTTTGGGAACCCCCAAGATAGAAATCTGAGAGCTGTTCTCAAATCCTTCCTCTTTCAGACCTCCTGCAGTCTCAAGGCCGTTCCTATTTTGCTTCCGAGCAAGGATCAAGCTGTCTCCTGCGTGGCAAGCTGGTTTTTCCCGGGACAGGCCTTTGGCACCCCTCATCACCACTGTGGCAGCTCCCCAGTACTCCGCACTGCTACTCAACCCTTAGTTTTGCTGCCCTCAAAATTCTGTTTGCAGAATCCCGGGACACCCAGAAGCTAAGAGTTACCACATGGAATTTTACAGCACAAGCGAGAGAATGCTTCCCCCTCCCCAATACTTGGAACTGTATGGACTGGGCCAGGGCTTGAGCCAGGACTGGGAACTCAACCTAGCTATTCTCCCCAAGTTAGGTGGTAGGAACCTATTACCTGGACCACCACTCCTGACTCAGGGTCTGTCCTGTGAAATGATGGAGAATGGAACCCACGTCCTCCGCCGGGGGATGCGGCCAGCCTGCTCCCAAACGGAATTCTCCAATAACAAATCTGTTCAACGTCCTCGAAGGACCTCTTTCTTGAACAGGTTGTGTGGCTGTACTTTTAAGGTCCTCCTTCCACTCCCAGATGTTCCCGCAGTCACCTGCTATCCCCCACATGTTTCATCATGTCTGCCATCCCTCCTAATCATTCATCCTCCCACCGACCGCTTGGGACAGGCTCGCCTGCTTTGATTCACACCCAACGCTCGTTAAACTGCATCTCTCTCTCTCTCTTTTCCAAGTGGAATTCAGCGCATGCTTCCGTCGCTGTTCTCTTGCCGTTCTTTCAGTCATCATCCTGCATTTCTAAGTACTCGTTTTCTATCTAGGTCTCCGCCCCTCTGAGGTACGTGTATTCCCAGTACACGGCTGGGCACATCGGAAGCAGCCGTCACCGCCGCCAGCGCTAAGATGCTGGGCCCATACGGCTGCCGAGCTGTGGGGTCCCGAGCGCAGGCTGGTTCTCTCCGGAGAAGGAGTCTGCCAGAGACCTGCAAACTTTCTCCTAAAATGAAAGTACGTGACAGCCAGGCGAGATAACAAAGGGACAACGCAGTCTACGGTGGCAGGCGGAGTGGACATCTCTACACGGCTCGAGCCAGGGAATACGTGTCACTCCCGGGATTGCAACTTCCTGCCTCCACTTTCTTCTCAGCTCTGCCCCACGTGACCGCGGCCGTTCACGTGAGCGCAGCCCTGCGTGACTGCCCCGGGAGTCACGTGAGCGCTGGGATCACGTGATCGCTCTCTGCGCTGATCTCCGGGGCGCTCCCTCCAGTTCCCGAAGCTCCTGCCGTGGTCTCTCCGTCCCTCGGTCTCCGGCGCCATGGAGGAGGAGGAGGAGGAAGCGCGGGCGCTGCTGGCGGGCGGCGCCGGGGAGGCGGACGTGGGCGCCCCTGCCGCGCCCCGGCCGCTGCCGGCCCTGTGCGACCCCAGCCGCCTGGCGCACCGCCTCGTGGTGCTGTTGCTGATGTGCTTCCTCGGTTTCGGTGAGCGGAGCGGGCCCCTCCTCGCACAGACTGCTTGAAGAAGTTTTAAAAATACTACCCGTCTCCTCCACCCTCTCCTACTTCCTTCCCTCTCACAAACCCGAAATGTCTTCCTTTCTCTTCTTCTATTGAAATCCATCATTTCCTTGGCCGTCTTGCATGCTTTTCTTTGGAGAAACGCCCGCGGAGTGTCTTGCTGAACACTTGTCGCGGGTAGCACTTTCCTCATCTTGCACTCCGCCGCTGGGAGGCAGTCGGGCTGGAGGAGGCTTGCGGTAGCCTTGGCATGCACTTGCAAAATCTGATGACTCCATAGAAAGCACTTTCCTTCCTACAGTATTCATTTGTTCTGGTATTCCAGTGTTAAGATTAGTTTGATGTGGAACGCTGGCTGGCACCCGGGTTAAGGTCTTGACCTGGTTAACTTCACGCTGTTGCTGGGTTGTATAAATAGGCATAAAGGATGCTTTGGACTCTGCTTTCTTTTGCTGCTCCTCCTCTTTCCTTCCCCCTCCCATCTCCCAGCCGTCAGCTTTAATGCAGGGCTTGGAACCAGACATCCTGGGCTCGGGGAAGGGGATACTTTGGAGAATTGTCCCCAAAGCAGACATCATGTAAATCCTGGTTATCCACCTGCGTTTCAGAAGCCACTGTCGTACACTCCTAACCGTGGTATAAAGTCCTTTGAACTTGTTGCTGCTGTGCTTGCAGTGAATGGGAACGTGGAGGCAGTGTTGTGGCCATACAAAGGGTCTGTCAGTTATTCTGCCTTGAAAATGAGTTGACATGCGTGAATATCAGATCTCTCCCCACTTTTCTGTGTCTAAACCCCCAGCAGACATTATTACATTTTATTTTTCTAATTCACAGTAATGTAGTTGCTAAATGATTTTACGTTGAAGACTCGGTAGAATCAGGACTTGATTCAAATATTGGTTTAGTTACAAGAGGCAGACTCCGTTCTGCTCTCACTGTGATGAACTTAGTAATACATGGAAGCTGGTGAGGGTATTTGTAAAAAGTTTCAGTGTGTATGTAGGTAGCGTTACTTGAGGAAAATGTAACTGCTTGGTGAAGACACTAATAAAGTGGTAGGCATGTGAAGCATGAGGGAAGTGGAATTGAAAAAGCAACTGGCTGCTACTTGGCTGCTTGATTTAGGGTTGCCAGTATTTTCTGTGTATGTACCCTGCCAATTTGCAAAAGCTACTTGGCTACAAAGTGGGAAGTCCTGGTGGGTAAGCGGCTTGTGCCCCTGAATTACTGTGATGTGAACTGACCCATGGGACCGTGCACTTGTAAAGGCACCATGTGCGACTGGAAGCGTCCACATGGACAGTATTGTTCCTTGTAACGCCCGCCCTTCTTTCTTCCTAGGCAGCTATTTTTGCTATGATAATCCCGCTGCTCTGCAAACTCAGGTGAAACAGGTAAGGATAGTTCACTTTCTGTTTGTTCACGTTGAAGCGGGCCTGGCTGCTGAGACCTCAGCTGTCAAGGTGCCTGAAGTGTGCACGGAATTAATTTTATCTTCTCTGGCCACAGCGGAAACGAGGGGTATTCAGCTGAAGTGAGTTGCCAGACACGTGGATTCATGCAAAGCATCTATGTGACTTGAAGTTGTTTCATGCCTTAAGTAGTTGTTTGCCAAGATGTCAGATTTGTGTTTGGTTCATTCTCTCATTGCTTAATCATCTGAGTGACAGGTGATTATTTGGTAGGATAATTTTTTTGCCTGTCAGCCTGGTTTTTGGTTGATGTCATTTTGTGTTTAAGATGTTATACCGATCCCAGAGGATTGCGTGTGTGTGTGTGTGTGTGTGTGTGTGTGTGTGTTAGCAGTTTTTGGCCTTGTTTTGCATTGTAAAAATCCATGTGATTTTACAGTTTCTTGGAGACTGACATAGTCATTTTGCTTCATGCTTTTTATTGTTGGATAGGGAGGAAGGCTGACCTTTCACATGCAAGAGTGACTGAGAAAGGAGGTGGAAGTTAGCAGGAGAGTAGAGTGGAACAGACAGGGAGAGGCTGGGAGTGTCTTTTCCTGTGGTGAGAAATCCTCAATTCGGGCACTGAGGGGCTAGGAATGTATGACAGAGGGAGCCTGGGGCCAACGTCACAGGCTTGAGTCCTGGAATCCTTGAAGTCCCTGAAATACTTGTGGGCCAGGAGAGTTCCCCTGTTCCTAGGTGTGACCATGTTTGTGGGCACAAAGCCGTATCTTTGGTAAGATTCTCAAGGCAGTTAGTGACTTGTAGATGACAAAATAACGTAATCATTGAACTGTTAAAGTTTGATTGCTGAACAGAAACTGTTTGGGAAAATAGTTTTGTTTTCTTTCCCTGTAGGATATGCAGGTGAATACCACGAAGTTCATGCTGCTGTATGCCTGGTATTCGTGGCCCAACGTGGTCCTGTGTTTCTTTGGTGGCTTTTTGATAGACCGAGTATTTGGAATACGGTAAGCTTGAAAAAAAGAATCCACCTGTTGTTAGGAACATGCAGACTGGATTTAGATATTTCCAGAAGAACTGAATAAACTTCTGCATTGACTGTGATAATCCGCTTGATGGCTTCTTAAAACATCATTGTTATATCTCTAGTTGGTTTTTGAAATGCAATTGATACCTCTGTTTATACTAGTTAGGATACTAGTTCTGTTTATACTAGTTAGTCCTACTGCCCATGGTTAATTTTGCTCACACTTCGGGTCAGGCAAGGTGGAGTGTGGACCCAATGGCTGTCAGGCACGTGGCTTCCTGAGCTTCTGTCTCATTAGGAAGATAAGGCTTCTGATTTCTGCCTTGAATAGTGGGCACAAAGCTGGTATGTGCTTCCCCAATGAGATATTTTATTTCTGCTTTGGACCTCAGACTTGTTTAAGATTTGTAATTGGTAAGATTTTTAATTGGAAAGGCAGATTTATAGAGAGACGGAAAGAGAGTGAGAAAGATCTTCTGTCTGCTGGTTCACTCCCCGAGTGGCTGCAACAGCCAGAGCTGAGCTGATCTGAAGCCTAGAGCCAGGAGCTTCTGGATCTCTCATGTGGGTCAGGGTCCCAAGGCTTTGGGCCATCCTCTACTGCTTTCTCAGGCCGCAAGCAGGCAGCTGGATGGGAAGTGGAGCAGCCAGACACAAACTGGTGTCCATATGCAATCCTGTTGCATGCAAGGCAAAGGCCTTAGCTCCTGGGCTACCGCGCTGGGCCCAGGACTTCAAACATTTGTGACTGTTTCTCTTTGATGCGGAGGAAGGTTAACACTATAGGCCTTGTTCTCATGACTCTGTGTGTGTGTGTGTGTGTGTGTGTGTTGTGAATGGAAACATGGAGAGAGACAGACAGAATCCTTTGGGAATATGTTGAGCAGACAGATATCAAGATGATGAAGGACCTAAAACCATGTCTTATGAGTGGGAATAGAAGAAGCTCTAGGTCTTTAGACTTGGAGACCAAATGCCTGCAAAACGCCAAGATTTGGCCTCAGCGGAATTGGAAGGCAGTCATTCAGGCCTCCCGTGTGGATGCTAGGAACTGAGTCATCCAAGCTACCATGCCCGCCTTCCAGTGTCTTTTAGTAGGAAGCTGGAATGTGAGGCCAGAACGAGAAATGAAACTCAGGTAGTCCCGTGTGGGCTGTGGGTGTCCTAAGCACGAGGCTGAACTCCATCCCCAAGGGGAATTAACTTCTGCACGTGTGCAAGATTAGAATGTGAAAGGAAAATGGAATTGATTTTACTTGGTCTCAAGGGATAGAACTAGCTTCAAACTTGAGCAGAACAGATTCTTCAGGTTTGCGTGGCTGTGTTGATGGGAGGTGAGGTAACACGACGTGAGACCCTGTGTAGTTTCCAGTGCTAAGAACCTTCCTGGAATGTGTGTGGCTGTTCCATAAGGATAGTAAGAGCAAGTAAGCTTCAGGTGTGTGGCTTACTCATGACTTCTATGGCTCTTCTCATGTGACAGGGAGAACATTAATCAGATATTCAAACTATAGAATATTGGACTTGTATCAATAAGGTTGAAATGATACTTGTGTCTTTGAAAGTAGTATAAGTCATCACGGAGTATAAACACTTAAACTTACTTAGCAGGCCTGGCGCGATAGTGTAGTGGTTAAAGTCCTCGCCTTGAATGCACCGGGATCCCATATGCGCACCAGTTTTAATCCCAGCAGCTCCACTTCCCATCCAGCTCCCTGCCTGTGGCCTGGGAAAGCTGTCGAGGACAGTACAAAGCCTTGGGACCCTGCACCTGCACCCACGGGGGAGATCTGGAAGAAGCTCCTGGCTCCTGGCTTTGGATCAGCTCAACTCCAGCCGTTGTGGCTGCTTGGGAAGTGAATCATCAGACGGAAGATCTTCCTCTCTGTCTCTCCTCCTCTCTGTATATCTGCCTTTCCAATAAAAATAAAATGAAGACCTAAGATAGCTTTTAAAAAACTTACTTAGCATAGAATTTCTTGGAATTAATTTTGAACTCTTACTATCAGTTTTATATATAAATAATTCCATTTGTAAAAAATTTTGACCCATGGATCTTCTGGCGGATGACTTAAGTTAGATTGAAGAGATGCTGGGGGCGTATATTAACTCATGCAGTGCTGTGCAAAGTCTGCACTTCTGTAGGTTAGCACACTTGCTGACTCGAGGGCAGCTGAGCTCTTCAGTTTGGTTTCTCGGAGGCAATGCAGACTAGACAAAATGTAAATGAATTTTTACGAAAAGACTTCGTAGTTACTACTGATGATGTAAAAAGAGATTCAGAACATCTTTTCTCTTTTTTCCTCTCAAACAGGTGGGGCACAATAATTTTTAGCTGCTTTGTTTGCATTGGACAGGTAAGGGAGACCAAACTTTCATTGATTATTTCATTGAAAATGACTGTTGTATAATTGCCTGATTAAACCCACTGGCAAATATGTGCTTACTGACTGCCCAGCTTAAATAGGGTCTATAAATGCCTATGTGGCATGATCCATATTCTGTCTTAAACCTTGAAGTAAATGAACAGTATTATTTTAATTTCATGAATTTACTAGGTAGGAGTATTATTGTATCAATTGTGACTGATCATAAATAACTAATTATCTTGAATACCTTGAGTTTATTTTCTTATTAAATCATTATTAAATTCTTTGTAGGTTATTTTTTCTCTGGGAGGAATATTTAATGCTTTTTGGCTGATGGAATTTGGAAGGTTTGTGTTCGGGTGAGTTGTGTGTAATTTCATTTAATGTAATTTTAGTGTCCTTTTATTAAATATTTGAAGAATAATTTATCTGGGCCCGGCGTGGTGGCCCAGTGGCAAAGGTCCTCGCCTTGAACGCACTGGGATCCCATATGGGTACCAGTTCTAATCCCGGCAGCCCCACTTCCCAACCAGCTCCCTGCTTGTGGCCTGGGAAAGCAGTCAAGGACAACCCAAAGCCTTGGGACCCTGCACCTGCCTGGGAGACCTGGAAGAGGCTCCTGGCTCCTGGCCCCTGGCTTCATATCGGCACAGCACCAGCTGTTGAGGTCACTTAGGGAGTGAATCGTTGGACAGAAGGTCTTCCTCTCTGCCTTTCCTCCTCCTGTATTTCTGACTTTGCAATAAAAATAAATAAATCTTTTAAAAAAATTTTAAAAAGAATAATTTATTAGTTTTCTAAAGAACTGTTGCAAATCCTTGAAATCATGCTACAATACATAGGATTACTTATTCACTGTCTTAATTTTCCTAGAAAAACAACAGTTTTGAATAATTGTGGTTAACTGTGAGTGGGTTTTGAATGTTAATAATAGTTTTCTATAAATCTTTTAAGAAGTGTGAGTGTGTGTGTGAGAGAGAGAAAGTGAAAGTGCTCCTTTCATTACTGGTTCACTCCCCAGACACCTGCCATGGCTAGGGCTGAGCTGCAGCCAGACGCTGGCAGCTGAAAATGCAGGTGAGGTCTTCTGTGTGGTTGGCAGGTGCCTCGTTACGTCTGCCTTCCAGTGTGTGCATTAGCAGCAAGCTGGAGCGAGGAGCTGTATCTCAGGTGTTTGACTAGTACCCTCACCATGAGCCCAAAGCCTTATTCAAGATCCCCAAGTGAGACTGACTGCCCTGTGTCAATTTCCGTGTGTCATCTGTAAGGCCAGTCAGAGTCCAGCGTTGGGCTCTCTGTCCTGAGGGACACAGAGGAGAGCACCATGTAATTCTAGTTCTTTTCACAGTTACCAGGGAGTGGTACACATGCGACATGTACCGTAAGTGCACTAAGTGAGAGAAAAGGAGCCCAGAGACAGAGCTGCGGTCGGAGGTGGCCTGCGCAGAGTGGCCTGGCCAGCAGGGATAGAGCTGTAGCAGTAGAAATGAGGGGACGTGGTTTTGGTAGTGAGTGGGGAGGACGCTTTACCAGGACAGGAGGGCGGGGAGCTCCCCGCTGAAGCTGAGGGGCACGGTAAGCATTCGAACTTGCTGCCAGGGGCATCCCTGACGAGGAGCGTGATGTTCAGCATGGAAGGTGCACTGGAGGGCGGCGGTGCAGCTTTCTGTGTTGACCAGACGAGTGTGAGCTTTGGCTTTCCCTGCATCGACACACAGTGTGGATGGTGGTGTGGTAACCAGGCTCCTTTCATTGCCTGTCACACAGTGTGGCTGGTCAAGTGACTCCAGGACGAAGCGGTGTGGAACAGCCACGCCATGATGCATCTGAACTTTCTGGGTTAGGAATATGGAATTGGGCTTCAGATGGAAAAATTCATGGAAGCCTGGGGGCTGGAATCATCCAGAAGGTTTTTGACTCGTGTGTGATACCTGGGCTGGGACGTCCCGGAGACTGGCACTGCTTACTGGAACGCTGTGTGCAGCCCCTGTGCAGCTTGCTCTCATGTCCAAGGTGGCTCATGCGAGTGTAGACGAAGGCAGACTCCACCTAAGCCTGAAGCAGACACAAGCTCACATAGATAGGAGAAGAGACATCTAAATTAACAACTGCGGTATTTCTTTTACAAATGTGACTTTTCTTTCTTTTCCTATTTTCAGGATTGGTGGGGAGTCCTTAGCTGTTGCCCAGAATACATACGCCGTGAGCTGGTTTAAAGGCAAAGAATTAAACCTGGTGTTTGGGCTCCAACTTAGCATGGCTAGAATTGTAAGTATGTTGACAAACCTGAAACCAAACAGAAGCAAAGGATTGGGTCATATAGTAATCTGAAAAATCACAGAATGTTGGTGCGTGGCAAACTAGATATTGATTTTTATTTCTCTAGAACCCAGTCCAGCATTTATTGTAAGTAACACATTGCTAATGTTTGTAAAAAGTCGCTAAGTGAACATTTCGTTAATTTGAAGGATCCAGCATAGAGAAGGATCTGGTGAGTCGTGTTGTCTGGCCTGTTACCCAGTTTTGGCATCCCTGTTAGGCATTTGGCCACGCTGGTTCTTCCTGCACATCTGTGCTGATGCAGAGACCACCAAGTGACGGGGCAGCCTGCCCACTCCAGCTTGGCCCCGTGCCGATGACCCCTGCCTTGCAAGCTGCTTTTACTGCATGTCCTGCCTGCCGTCCTCTGCGGCTGGTCTCTGCCTCCCCTGCTGGAGGACAGCCCTTGGGTTCCTGTGCCCGTCTCCTGTGTGGTCTCAGCCACACGTCTGGGCCCGCTCCGTACTGCGGGATTCGGGTGTCTACGCCTGTCTCTCGCAGCAAGCTGGTACACTCCCTGGTCTTTTTCCCTTTTATTTGTGTTTGTAGTTATGATTTTGCCTGATAACACTTTCTGTGGGTATGGATTCCTCCTGTCCCCTTCCTTTCCTCTCTCCCCATTTCCCTTCTCTCCATTTCCCCCCATTTCATCATGATAGCATAGTCCTTTAGTAACTGTTATAAGTTTAACATTCTTCTTTTTAAGTGTATCATGGCTTTGTAGGAAAAGGCAACGATGGAAAATCCAGTATCGTACTGTTAGGGTGGATTTAAGGTTCGTTAAGAGTCCTCCTTGTGTTCAGGAGTAAGATGTGTACTTTCAGAAGATCACAGTGTCTCAGGTCTGATGGCGGCTACATGACTGAGCAGCATGATCACATTTTCATTAAGGCATCCAGGACTTTTTCTAATTCTGGTAGACAGAAAAAAGAATCCGAGCTAGTAGAGATTAGGTTTCCAAGGACTAACACATGTCATAGGGGAGAAGAAATTCTGAAATAGTTTTTAATATAATTCTTGTGAGTATTTCTATGTGTCTACACATGTAGGTTATTTTCAGTTTTTTTTTTTTAAGATTTATTATTTTTTGTTGGAAAGTCAGATATACAGAGAGGAGGAGAGACAGACAGGAAGATCTTCCATCTGGTGATTCACTCTCCAGGTGGCTGCAGTGGTCGGAGCTGAGCCCATCTGAAGCCTGGAGCCAGGAATTTCTTCTGGGTTTCCCATGCGAGTGCAGCTTTGGGCCGTCCTCCACTGCTTTCCCAGGCCACAAGCAGGGAACCGGATGGGAAGTGGGGCCGCGGGGATTAGAACTGACAGCCATATGGGATCCTGGTGCGGTCAAGGCGAGGACTTTAGCTGCTAGGCTGCCATGTCGGGCCCTCTTTTCAGTTGCTTACTCTTGCCCTTGGTGCTGTAATCCAGCATGTGCTGTCAGCCTTGTCTGCATCTCCGCCTCTTCAGCCAAGTGGCCGGGAGCCTGTTCAGTGAGCCGAGGGTTAGTTGGGGTTTCTGAGGGTTGTTGAGATGTCTTTTCATTTCATCTTCTCCGAGATGTTTGCATCCCTGTCTGTGAGATATGAGAGCATTGATTTTATCCTAGCTTTCATCAGAACAGGCAATTTAATTACTTAAAGAAATGAATTTTAGGCCCGGTGTGATAGCCTAGTAGCTAAATCCTCACCTTGCATCCGCCTGGATCCCACAGAGGCTCTGGTTTGTATCCGAGCTGCTCCATTTCCCATCCAGCTCCCTGTGTGGCCTGGGGAAGCAGTTGAGGATGGTCCAAAGCTTTGGGAACCTGCACCCACTCCTGGCTCCTGGCTTGGGACCGGCTCAGCTCTGGCTGTTGTAGCTACTTGGGGAGTGAACCAGCAGATGGAGGATCTTTCTCTCTGTATCTCCTCCTCTCTGAATATCTGACTTTCCAAAAAAATAAAGTAAATCTTAAAAAAGAAAAATGGGGAAGTTGGGACTTGAATCCAGCTACTCCATTATTAAAAAAAAATGAATTTTATTAGTTTGATCAGAATAGTTAACTATTTTAACTGGTAGTTAGTGCATTTCCTCAGGGCTTCTCAATGTTATCTAATAGGATACTCCAAGAGGCTTCGTTCTGTGTCTTTCCCGAGTCACGATGAGTCTGGCAGTGAGTGGATCCGCTGTGTAACTCTGTGACAGGGCAGGTGGGTGGTGTGACTGAGTTGTTCTGCGTCCTCCGGAGTGATCCCAGCCTCTGGGTTTACCTCTTGATGGTTTTTCAGCGTTCTGGGCTCTGAGCTTGTCTGTTTACACATGTGGACTGTGATCGAATACCTGCTTTGCAGAGAACAGAGAAGCCAGCTTCTCATTCTTTAAATCCCTGCCTTAGCTGGGGGGTTGGAAGCCTAGCGTCCTTTTGACTTCCCTTTGCAATTTGTTCCTTTGGAGACAAATATCGCTGTAGCATCTGCTGAGGCAGGTCATCAGTTTAGAAGGGAGTATTACTGAGGCATTTCTCGCCTTGGAAGGCCTGATACTGGAGAGTTTCCAGCAGGTGTCTTTCATCTTACTGCTCGTCCCTGTAACGTTGTAGGTTAGCATCTTTATAAGGGACAGCCGTGTGGGAGTCGCTGCTGTCTGTTGAGAGAGCAGTGCGGAGGACATGGTTGATTCTTGGTCTTCACTGATGTCTGACCCGTCGGTAGCATTCGACGGAACGGATTTTGCCTGCTCTCTGATTTCTTATCTTGGGTCCTGGTGCAGCGCGGTCCTCCGGTTTCCTTTGCCTCTCTGTCTACCCCTTTTCTGCGTCTTTGGTTGGTTCTGTTAGCTCTCCCTAAGCTGCAAGCAGAGCAGGCCCTGAGCTCAGTCGCTGGCCGTCGTCCGTTTGGGAAGGCTCATAGCCTTGGTCATCTTGTCTGGTTTTGCAATTTTAAATACCATTTCCTCACTTCTGAATTCATGGCACTGCGCAGCCCTTTTTGCTGCACTCCCATACAGGTGGGCTGCCTGCTTGGCATTTCCACTCGGGTGTCCAGTGGGCGGATCACACCCCTCATGTGCTGCGGATTCAGTGTTTGGCATTCTGCCCCGTGCGTCATTTGGTAAGGGCAGCTCTGTCGTTGCCTGAGCCCCTTCTCTCCCCTCATGTACTTGGGGTAGCACAGCCTTTCAGATCCGCCCCCAGGTGACATCTGTGTTCTGGCCACGTCTCACCCGGCCATCGTGTCCAGGGCCAGGCACGTCTCTGGCTAGGCCCTCAGGAAGCCTGGTTCCCGCGTGGAGTCTGGTTTGAATACAAAAATATTTCAAAACTTCACAAAAGGTGGAATTTAAAAATAAGCTTATTTTGGTGCAAAAATTGTTTGAGATTCATTCAAAGTTGCTCATAGTACACATTTAAAAAAATGATTTATTTATTTTTATTGGAAAGTTAGATAAATAGAGAAGAGGAGAGACAGACAGAAGATCTTCTGTCCGATGATTCACTCCTCAAGCAGCCACAATGGCCAGAACTACGCCGATCCACAGTCAGGAGCTTAGAGCTTCTTTCAGGTCTCCCATGCGGGTGCAGGATTTGGGTCGTCCTTGTCTGATTTCTCAGGCCATAAGTAGGAAGCTGGATGGGAAGCAGGGCTACAAGGGCACAAACTGATGCCCATATGGGATCCCGGCACATGCAAGGCGAGGACTTCAGCCGCTAGGCTACCACCCCAGGCCCATCATAGTGCACCACTTTACAAGAGCTTTTTGAAAACCTTTCACTCACATAGATTTCAAAATGTTTTCTGCAATAAGATAAACTCCCCTCTAAATTCCACTGTACACGAATTTTTTGGAGTACACTTGTCTAGCAGCCACAGTGTGTGTCAAAGCCAAAGTGGACCGAGTCCTCTGTCTCCTCACAGTCCCACTGGCTTGCCATGTCACGTAGCATCCAGGCCGAAAGTTCTTATTGTTATCTTCCCCACCATAATGTCTTTCCCCGCCATTGCTGCTCTGGGAACCTCACCTCGGCCCGAGCTTTCCCTTGCACTGCCCGACCCTCTGCTCCTTACCCATGCCTGCGCTGTGTCAGACAGCCTGCCTCTTCTGGTCTGTGTGTGGATTGTTCTGCCTGGAATGTTCTTCCTCTGCCACAGCTGTTTTCAAGTCCGGTGTACAGAGATGTCTCCGAGTTTTATGTTGTCCTTCCCTGGTTTATTGTTTTCCTTACCTTTGAAAACATGTCATTCTATATACATATGTGTTTAAACTCACTGAAATATAAGCTGTATGAAAGTTGGGTGCTTTTAGAAAGCAAAACAAAGTTTTGTTCTTTGTTATTAATACCTTTACAGTGGTTAAAATGTAGTGAGGGCTAATGGCTGAGTGAATGAGTTAATGAATGAGATGTGGTCTGCAGTTACTCTCACTGTCTATAGATGTTCAAAGGAAGGATTTTTTATTTCATATTTTAGTACCAGAAAAAAAAGCCTTTTTTCTGAGTTACTACATATATGTGTATGTATATATATATTTATATATATATATAAATTTAAAGATTTATTTTATTTTTATTGGAAAGTCAGATATACAGAGGAGGAGAGATAAAGAGGAAGATCTTCCATCCATTCATTCACTTCCTAAGTGACCGCAACGGCCGGAGCTGTGCTGATCCAAAGCCAGGGGCCAGGAGCCTCCTCCGGGTCTCTCATGTGGGTGCAGGGTCCCAAGGCTTCAAACCATCCTCGACTGCTTTCCCAGGCCACAGGCAGGGAGCTGGATGGGAAGTTGGGTGCTGGGATTAGAACCAGTGCCCAAATGGGATCCCGGTGTATGCAAGACCAGGACTTTAGCCGCTAAGTTTCTGCCCCGGGCATCAAGTTACTGTATATATTTTACATTTCTATCTTGAGTGCTCTGTGAATTTTCTAATTAATGTTTCCTTTGTGCTTTGATTGCTAGAAAGTTCTGAATGTCCTGTGCTCTTTTGGATACTAGCATTTTCCAATAAGTAGATATTTTTTAGTGACTTTATCTTAGTGTCAGTTTTTTTCTTCCTTTTAAAAAAATTATGTGTTGCTTGTTCTGGAGTCCAGTTATGCCTGCTTCCCAAAGGCCCTGCAGTCCTTTTTTCTGAACAAGGTAGAGGTATAAATGTTTGAAAATTCTGTTAATTTTTCTTCACTTCTCTTTAGGGAAGTACAGTGAACATGAACCTCATGGGCTGGCTGTATTCTAAGATGGAAGCTTTGTTGGGCTCTGCTGGTCACACGACCCTGGGGGTGACGCTATTGGTCGGTGAGTGCCGCCTGCCGTGCCGCACCTGCTTGCTGAGCGCTTCGGTCGTCGTTTGTAGCTCTGCACTGTACTTGGTATTGTTTTTTTAAAGATTTATTTTTTATTTTTACTGGAAAGTCAGATATATAGCGAGGAGGAGAGACAGAGAGGAAGGTTTTCTACTTTCTTTTATTATTTTTTTAAGTATTTATTTCTTTGAACAACTTAGTCGGAGTTGTCTGATAATCCAGGTATGCGGCTGTTTATAGTCTAGCAGAAGGAAGAGTCCTTCCGCTTTGACCGCATTCAGCTGGTCTGCTCAGGGAGGTGTGTTTTCTTTATTTATTTTTGCTTTTTTTTATATATTTAAAAAATTGTAGTCTTTAATCGGCTTTAGCAGATTCAGTGTTATTTCTCAGAATACAATGATCGTCTTTCCTTCCTTCCTCTCTCTCCGTTTCCAGTTTCCTTTCTTTTCCCTTCTTTTTGTAGTTTTTGAGACAAATCATAAGTTTACATTATAGTAAAAAGGCTTAATATTTCACTGAATAAGAAGCTTATCGAATAAAAAAGCAAAAAGAGTTTAACTTAGTGGAAATGTAGATTAACAACCACAAGCAATAATTGAATGGCAAAATGACCATTTCACCATGCAGAACATCTTAAAGTAACCTCAGGCCGCTCAGGCTATTCTAGTGTAACATTCTTATCCATTGATTTGACAAAGGTATAAAACAAAGTTTCATAAAACTAGATTTTCAGCAATAGATCTTTTTAAATTTTAGCTTTCACATGAAAGGGAGAATGTGCTGAATTTTGTCTTCCCTGGAGCCTAGATTTTATAATGATTGAAAATCCTGAAGTTGGGAGTTGGAAGCTTGAGTTTTAGCACTGGCTCCAGTTTTGTTGTCTTGGAAAAGAAAGTGAACATTTGGCTCTTAGGTTTCTCCTCGGAGGCGTTGCTGGAGTTTCACTGCTGTTTGTAAGTCCCACTGGGGAAGGCTCGGTGGCTGCTGAGACGGGCACATCTCTGTGCTGACCCCATTTGCTTGCCTCTGCCCAGTGATGGTCCAGCTGCACACAAGTGTTTATACGGCCACCTGCAGGGCTCCAGGGACACCTGTGCTGTGGTGCCATCAAAGGTCTGTGCCCCACACTGGCACACCTTGTCCTGTAAGAAAACAGCGGGAAAGTCTTCCAAATCCTTGCTCTCCGATCCTCTGTCTTACTTGAACCTTTTTCTGGAGTCATTTGGCCTGGCAGTTGAGATGCCTATTAGGATTCCCCATCCTTTGTCAAAGTGCCTGAATTCAAGTCATGGCTCTCCCTCCCGGTGTGGACCGGGAGGCGGCAGCTGATGGTTCAAGTACTTAAGTCCCTGCCACCCACAAGGAAGACTGGAATGGGAGCTCCATCTTTTTCTTTATATTTTTAAAATGTGCTTTTTTTTTTTTTTTTAAATTTCTTTACTTTTGCTGGAAAGGCAGGTTTATATAACCCCCCTCTCTCACACACACACACACACACACACACACACACACACACACACACACACACACACACACACACACACACTTGAGATCTTCACTCACCAAATGGCTGCAATGGCCAGAGCTTTGCTGTCTGAAGTCAGGAGCCAGGAGATAGTTCTGGGTCTCCCACGTGGGTGCAGGGGCCCTAGAGCTTGGGCCGTCTTTTACTGCCTTACCAGTTATATTAGCAGGGAGCTGGATTGGAGGTTGGGCAGTAGTGACTCGAACTGGCAACCATAAGGGATGCTAGCACCACAGGCAGAGGCTTAAGTTACTGTGCCATGGCGCTAGCCCCTATCTCTTTATTTCCATCTCTCTGACTCTCAACTAAAACCGTAGCAACAGTGAGCCCTTCCTGCTCTCCATGGCGTCCATATCTGGCTAGCTTTCCTTTAGTAGAGATTTTAGAGCCTGAGAAGGCCTGTGCTGTCACCAGATCAAAGCCTCCTATTTTACAGATGGGGAAATTGAGGTTTAGCTCTGCTCCAAGATTATTCAGCTAGTTAAAATCAGCACTAGAGCCTGGTCTAGTGACTTTGATTTCAACACTTTTTCCTCCCCAATTAGATCATACACTGTCAGCCAATTCAAGGTTCTGGGAGACAGACTGATCTCTCAGCTTGGTCACTCCTCTCATGCCCACAGCAGCAGGCCAGCAGCCCTTGGGAGCTGGGATTCCATCTGGTCTCCTATCAGTGGTTGGGATACAGCTCACAGTATGTCAGGGTGCAGGAATCTCTACTTGGAAGCGGAGCTGGGACTTGAACCTTGATTATCTGATGTGGAACATAGGCATCTCAAGCAGTGGTTTAAATGCTGTGGCAATGCCCACCCCCAGCTGCATTCATTAACACTAAGCTCTTCAGATAATAGTTCTTGAGTTTCAAGAAGTAGAAATTTTATTATCACTGTTTTGTCTTACTGGTTTTAATGATGGGCATTAATGAGGAGTGCTGAACTTACAGGAAAGAAGCCAAGGGAGAGGTGCTTTGCAAGTGTGCCCATCCTTCGGGCTGCCCAAGGGTAGGGACGTGGGTTATAGACTTAGGAAGGCATTGGGGCAATCGTGATTACAGAGTCAGACTGGTTTAGTCATTTTCCCGCTTGGCATCCATCAGCAGTTGGTGCTTAGAGTGAGTTAAATGAGGACTGGTTTACTGGTTTTATTCTAGTCTTTTTCCTCTCATCTGCGTCTTTCTCCTGAGAATTAATGCCCAGTAAAGGCATCTGCTGTTTGTGAAGAACTGACGATTTTCCGTCTTGAGTTTTCTTATTCGTGACTTTATCTTTCCTGCCAATTGACTCATTTTCTTCTGCGTATATGATGTGCTGCCTTTTGGTGTCTTCTGTTTTTAAAAATTTCCTCTCTTTTTTCTTAGGGGGCTTAACGTGTATTCTTTCCTTAATCTGTGCCTTGGTTCTCGCCTACCTGGATCAGAGAGCAGAAAGAATCCTTCACAAAGAACAAGGAAAAACGGGTGAGTGCAGGTGGGAGTAGTGGGGGACGCTGGGGGAGTTTTGACCTTTTTTATAATTTCTAATATTAGTTCCTAAGGCAGTGTTGGAAGCCTGACAGCCTAATGCATGCTTTTATCTTCTGTTTCCAAGTCTGTTCTCTATTTCTGCTTTTGTGGATTGTTGAGTACTTTCTTTTCCCTTTAAACATTTTGGCTAAAGTTACCTTCTCCATTGTACTTTGTATAATTACAGAATTATGGGGATTTCTGGGAGAAAGCCAGAAGGTGGATAACAGACTTAGCTTCTGCTTTTATGTGTGTGTGTGTGTGTGTGTGTGTGTGTGTGTGTCTGTGTGTGTGTGTGTATCTTGGTAAATTATCCCAGACATGATGCTTGTTTATTGTGCCAGAAAAGTGTCTTTTGAACTGGATTGCAAAGGTTAATCACTTGTTAAGAAGTCATGCTGGCCTGGGGAAGCTCCTGGGGTGTGCACAGCTGTGCTGATGATGGCTCTGTCCTCCAGGGGAGGTGATCAAACTGACAGACGTGAAGGACTTCTCCTTACCCCTGTGGCTCATCTTCGTCATCTGTGTGTGCTACTACGTCGTGGTCTTCCCTTTCATTGGGCTGGGGAAGTGAGTATTGTTTAGCATTCCATTTTTATTTTTTGGCTACATTATAGTGACAGCCCAATTCATAAATGTAGTACTATAGTTTACTTCTCTGGTGCTGGTCCATGTTTGTATAGGAATTGCTATTCTCCTGGGTTACAGCAGCTCTTCTTGGCAGTACAGGTCTCCCTCATGGGTGGTACTGGTCCGACTGCTTGAGCGCTCCTGCTCGTCTCTGGATCGGGCTCAGGCTCTGGGCTGGGATGAGGACTGAGGGCTCTGGTGTGGGAGGTAGGTACCTTAGTAGGCCCGACAGCTGCCTCTGTCCCTGTCGTTTATTTCCCCCCTTGTTCCTTGGTGAAGTGATTTCTTCCTGGGAGTGGAGACCCAGTGCTGCATGGTGACCACATGTGTTTCCACTCACCAGACTTAAATATGGCATCCGGAGCAAGCTCTTGTTTTCTGTTTCTTGTAGAACCATGTGTGAGTGTGCTTGTGCCAAGGAACCCTTACAAGCTATAAATTCAGGCCTTTTTTTTTTAAGATTTATATTTTTTTAATTCCTAAGTCAGATATACAAAGAGGAGAGACAGGAAGATCTTCCATCTGCTGATTCATTCCCCAAGTGACTGCAATGGCTGGACCTGAGCCAATTCAAAGCCAGGAGCCTGGAGCCTCTTCCGGGTCTCCCATGCAGAAGCAGGTTCCCAAGGCTTTGGGCTGTCCTCAACTGCCTTCCCAGGTCACAAGCAGGGAGCTGGATGGGAAGCAGGGCTTATATTAGAACCAGCCCCATATGGGATCCTGGCAGATTCAAGGCGAGGACTTTAGTTGCTAGGCTGCTGTGATAGGCCCCGGGTTGTTGTTTTAAACAGGAACCTTCACTTATTATTTAGCAGAGAACCTGTTAGTGTTGCTTTGGAATTAGTCTCAATGCCCTGCAACAGTGTTTAGTTTTCTGAAAATTCATGTGTGCTTCTTGCTGTGTTTATACCAGGGAAAAATTAACTCTTATGTCTTATTATTGAAATGTTTATATAAATAAGCCTTAGAAGATTGCTTGAAGACAAATATTAAATAAGGCAGTAGGATGGGTGCTGTGGCATAGCACGTTAAGCCCCTGTCTGGGATGCCCGCAGCCCCTTCCTGGGGTGGCTACTTAGTGCTTTTGATCCAGTCTGCTGCCGACGGTCCCAGAGGCAGCAGAAGATGGCTTGTGCACTTGGGTTCCTGCTGTCCAGCTGGAGACATGGACGGGATCCTGGGCTCCTGGTCTTGGCCTAACCCAGCCCTATTACAGGATCTGGGGACTGAAGTAATGGATAGAAGGTCTGTCTCCCGCTGGCCCTCTCCTTCCTGCTCTCTCTCTGTATATGTGTGTCCCCCTCTGTCTCTTTTCTGTGTTGCTCTTTCAAAATAGTAACTCTTTAATAAATATATTAAAGAAGGAGGGAAAGCATAAAGAACGGAAGGTTTGTTAAGTTATACTTACATTTATTTTGCCTTTGGTTTTTGAAAGCAGAAATCTCCCCAATGTGCTCATTTCTCTTTTTGATTTTAGAGTTTTCTTCATGGAGAAATTTGGATTTTCTTCCCAGGCAGCAAGTGCAATTAACAGGTATTTGATTAATTCTGTAAGTGCTTATCTCATGTGAAGTTTGGGTCTTTAATTATAACCAGGTGTTGTAATAGGCGAGAAAACAAACAACAAAAATTCCCAACAAAACCCTGTTCCACGGTGTGAAACCAGGGCTTTTTTGGGACTTGAATCCTAAGTGGCCATCTTTGATGAATGGAAAAGCAAAGGAATGCTGGGCTGTTCTTTGTATTTCTATTTTCTGACGGCCATTTTAGAAGCATGTTAAATAAGTTAGGATTTGCTTTGCCTAGCATTGTTAGGGACTTCTTTGATGTTTACTTTTAGCTGTGAAGCATTTCATTAAACATCTTGTGTGTTTTTGGGCAGCATTGTGTATGTCATATCAGCGCCTATGTCTCCAGTGTTTGGGCTCTTGGTGGACAAGACGGGGAAGAACATCATCTGGGTCCTGTGTGCGGTGGCGGCTACCCTTGTGTCCCACATGATGCTGGCCTTTACCATGTGGAACCCGTGGATTGCCATGGTAACGTTTGTAAGCCCCGGGCTGGGGTCAGTGCCCTTGAGAGGCTCTGTCAAGTGCTCAGATGGCTGTGACGGGGACTGTGGGGGACAGTTGCTCACTTTCAGTGTCCTCAAAATAATTTTTAAAAGGGTGATTATACCCCAGCGCCTATAAAACTGTACTACACAATACAGTGTAAGCAACAATAAAAAAAAAAAAATAAAAAAAAAAAATTAAGAGAAACACAAGAAAAAAAAAAAAAAAAGGGTGATTATAAATGATTACTTCATAGGGTATTTTTTATGTGACTGGGCTCATTTAGGCCTGAGAGCTCACAGTGAAAGTAGAATTTGAGACAGAATAATCTTTCCGAAGCCGGATTACCTGTGTGTTTCACTTTTCTGACCTTCCTTCATCCGTGCCAGTAAATGACCTGTTGCCCTGGTGCCCGTTCTTTTGTCTTTGACTTGTAGTAGGTTAAAAAGTGACAGTGAGTTCATTCTGCTTTTGTTCTTAAAAATGTCATTCTTAAGACCACAGGTTTAAGTGCTACAATCCTTTCTGCCAGTAAAGAAGTTTCTTGAACGTTGGTTTGTGCACTTGCTGAGACTTGCCCTAGAAGTCTTCCTGCGGGCTCAGTCCAGATTCCGAGAACCAAGAATCCTGCAGTTGAAGCTTTGCATGATTATAATCTTGATAAAGATGACAGAACTTCTCCAGTAGCTTTGCACTCATTTATAGCTTCACCAGTAGCATCATGGAATTGTGTGTTTTTTAGTACACCCTTTTTATTAGCGTAAGACTTTTACCCATCTCTGTGTTGCTTTGTGTAGTGTCTACTGGGACTGTCCTATTCACTGCTGGCCTGTGCATTGTGGCCAATGGTGGCATTTGTAGTTCCTGAACATCAGCTGGGAACTGCCTATGGCTTGTAAGTATGCTCGCTCTACGTCATGTTTGGTGGTCCTTCAGAAAGTTCGTGGGAAGAGTAGAATTAAAAGATGAGTTTTGGCAGTCTTTTTCCATGACGTTTTCAAAGAACTTTTATATGCACAAATTTCAAAACAGTTTGTGCCAAAATAAGCTTAAAAAAAAAAAAACAATCAGTTCTGTACCCCTGAAGTCTGTAAGTAGGCCTCACCTGGGCCTCCTGCCATGACAATTTCATGGTCATCTAAGGCCCCTCAGTCCAGTTGTCTTCGGGCTGTGGGACAGCTGTGACCCTGGAGATGCTGGAAAAAGTCAGCTAGTCTCTGCGATGTCATTGTGGCCACCAAAGAGCTCCACGCCTGCAGCAAGGGGGCAGGGGGAAGCTCGGCCCTCGAGGCGATGGGTGACGCCCCCTGCCCTGCCATCTGCAGACTGCTCTGTGATGAGTGCCCTCTGAGCCCCAGAAAAGTGAGAGAGACCTCGCTGTGGTGGCTGTTCGTGAAGCCCTCCACTTGCTCCTTTGTGAGGCTGCTCTCTCACTTTAGACCTGAACGTTTCATAGTAGAAATAGTCGTGGACTGAAAAAAGCAAAGGTTAATCAAGTCACATCTGGTCGAAAGCCTCCCTTAGCGCTAATACCGTGTTGCTTACAGCTGCTAATGTTTATCCTGAAGTATTACCCTCTGTATGAATGAAATGTGCTTATGTGCTTCTCAAATGGCAGCATGCAGTCCATTCAGAATCTCGGGCTGGCGGTCATCTCCATTGTTGCTGGCATGATCCTGGACACCCGGGGATACTTGTTTTTGGAAGTTTTCTTCATAGCCTGTGTTTCTTGTGAGTAAGCCCTGTGGTAGCATTTCATTTCTTTGAATATGTAGCAGAATGTTCCCATTTTTACACTTGGACTTTGTTAATTCTATTCTCTCCCTGCCCTCTTCTGAAACCAAATTTCTAAGCCATAGTTGTGGAATTTCTCACTCCCTGAAGATTCACAAGCATTTTCCAGGAGATTCCTATCCGTAATGGCATCGATGGAATCTCTTCCTAGTCTGTTCATGTTTATGATTTGGGGTTGTGTAGTGTGTTAAGTAGCTGCTTGTGAAGCCAGCATTTCATATTAGAGCCAGGATTTGAGTCCTTTGTTTCTGATCCAGCTTCCTGCAAAGGGCCTGGGCACGCAGTGGAAGATGGCACTTGGGGCCTTGCTGTGCATGTGGGGAGATCAGGTGGCGTTTCTGCCCCTGGCTTCTGCCTGGACCAGCCCAGGCTGTCGTGGCCACTTGGGGCGTGAATCAGGGGATGGAAAATATTTTTGCTCTGTCACTGTGTGCCTCCCCATCTCGCTGTTGCTCTCTGCCTTTGGAAAAAAAAATGATTTTTGAGAAATGTTTAAAGTGTTTCTATTTAAAGGTTCTTGAATGTATTCTCAGTGTGAATGTGTGGCCTTTGGTGCAGTTGGGTGTGAGTGCTCATGATGTAGTCATCAGTTGTTTTTTTTTTATAATCTTTTTAATAATCTTACTTAATTGATTAGCATACAAAGGGTCACAGGCTACAGGGTGAAAGTGGGTGATACCATTATTTCCACACTAATATTATCATTTTTCCCTGTCTCTGGGGTTAGAGGAGTAACAAAGGGAACCCTCCCCAACCTCCCACCCATCCCAGATCCCCAACGGGAGGCACGCTCCGAGGCTCCTGCTCAAACAGTTTTAATAGTTCAACAGTTCTGGATTGCTGCCATCTCGCCATTCCAATCGCAGTGAAACCTATTTAGAGTCCACTAGCTGACAGTCTCTTGATGGTTGGGGTTCTAAGATCAGCAGTTCAGTTGGAGGAACCTCCAAAGAAACTTCATCTGAGATGATCCCAGACCTGATTCTTGCGTGAGTTTGCTAGTACAGAGTCCAACACTGTCCGTCACACCAATCAGCTTGTGCACATGCTGGTCATTGTGATTACTGGGTCCGTTCTGTTTCCAGCCCTGTCTTCCTTGTGAACCAATGGGTGTTGTAGTCCAGCTTGATCCTACCCACTTCATACTCGGTCCTCATGCAAACCAGTGGGAGCTGCAGCCTAGTTGGGGCGACTCCCCATAACCCAGTCATCAGTTTTAAATTCCTTTTATTTTTAGTCTGTTATTGAATTTTTACCTGTAGCACTTTATTGATTAAAATGAGAAAGCTTTAGGAAGTTTTTGAAAAACTACAAAAATCAGTCATCATTTTTCCATAAATAATCTGTACTGTACATATAAGTTGTGTTGTATAAAGGAAGTAGTCTGCTATAATGTGTCATGATGTCTTTTATACTTTAGTTGATGTTTTATAATCTCAATTTTAGAAGCAATCACATATTGTTTAAAAGTCACTTCATTTCTAAAAATGGGTCATATAAAAATTCAGAATTTTCAGTCATGAAGCACTTTTTGTTTATTGTTCATGCCATACCATGTGACTTAACTTCTACCCATAATTCAACATGTATTTGAGTTTCAAAGCAAGCAGTGCTGCTTTAAGAAGTGCTGCTGTTATCATATTTTACAGGAAATTAAGCAGTGTACCTCACCTGACCAAAAGGTCTTTACTGGCTGTGGGCTTCTGGGAGTCTAATGACCATGTTTGTTTAACTGGTCAATTGTAACATAAACTTTTTTCAGGCTTGAAGCCCCCTAAGACAACTTCTCTTTGACTTTCCTTCAGATCACAGTCCAGGGGAGTGGTTGGGAAATGCTGGGGGACCAGCCCTTGCAAGGGGAGTGGTTGGGAAGTGCTGGGGGGACCAGCCCTTGCAAGGGGAGTGGTTGGGAAGTGCTGGGGGGACCAGCTGTTACAAAGGGGAGACATTGGCAGTGGGGAATTGACTGCCTCTCCTCCAGTAGTCTCTGCTTTCCCATGTCTGTTAGAGAACTTTTATTTCTTTTCATTTTATTCAAAAATCAGAGAGACAGAGCATTTCCATCCTGTGATTCACTCCCCAGATGCCTGCAACAGTTGAGGTTAGGTCAGCCTAAGTGGGAATCCAGAACTTGGTCTGTGTCTCTTATGGAAGTGGCCAGGACCCAACCACCTTAGCCACCATTGGCTGCCTCCCAAGGTGCTGATTCGCAGAAAGCTGGAAAGAAGCGACTGGGATTTGAACACAGGCACAGGTGTAGGGGGTGTGGGTCTCGAAAGTGGCTGCCAGCTGCTGCACCAAATGCCCACTTTCTCAGTGGTCTGGCTGCTTGAGGTCTGAGTGAATGCTATATAACTTATTTTTAGTGCTTTTAGTGAAAACAGTATATAGTGTGTTTTAGTTTTAGATGCCAGTTAAGGGTTTGATTATATCTAAGATTTTCTTTGTGGTTAGGTTTACATAGGAACCATGAAGAATATGTATTTTTAACAGCCCTGTGTTTTCTTGTTCCCAGTGTCACTCTTATCTGTGGTCTCACTCTATTTGGTGAATCGTGCCCGAAGTGAGTTGAAATGCTGATATTTTCTTCTTGAACTCTGTCGGATCGTCCTGCGGGGTCTCTAGATTGTGTTTTGGTGTATGTGATGAAGACCCTGCCCATAGTGGTAGAAAAACATTTGCTTCTATGATATTGAGTTTTCTATTCTTGTCCTTCACATTTCTTAAGATTGCTGTCATTCTTTTATCTTCCTCCAGGAGATCAGTTTGTTTTGAAAAATAAGCTTTGAGATATCATTTTAAGTATTACCATAAGGAATCACAGTATTTAAAAAATCCTGCTTTGGCTTCCTATGTTATTGTCTTCCTTTTTTTTTGAAAAAACAAACCATCAAATTTGTAGCTGTGATTTTTAAAAAGTGTGAAAGTGTTTGGTTTAGAATTAGAAATTGCAGCTTTTTCTCTCTTTTTTTGCTGATACATACTAATATATACTTAAGTGCCTTTTTGTTTTTTATGAAATTTTGCTGTAGACTTTGTTAATTTTGCTACTGCTTACTGCCAGAGTCTATTACATATTAGCAAAATGCAATACACATGCTGTTTAAATAACTTTTGATGACTTTATTTTGTCTGTATTGTCACTATTACTGAATATTAATATGATGTTCCAGTTAACAAAATTGCAGTGATACCTAAGTAAATCCAAATTAAAAAGAGAAGTAAAAAACTGGAATTAAGAGGTGATTATTTGCATCTCAGGAAATCTCCATTTATTTCTCTTGGGAAAATTCTGATAGATAAATTATTTCCAAAAGCTTTTCTGTTTCTTTAAGAAGCTGTGTCTATGCACATGTTTGTATAGGTGTATGTGTCGTTGACATTTACTTGCAGTAGTTTGTTGAAAACAGTCTGTGTTTATTTTTATTTTAGGAGGGAACCTGAATTATTCGGCAAGACAAAGGGAAGAAATGAAATTTTCCCATACTGAGTAAGTGTAAAAAGGGAGAAAAGTTATCTTTATTTTAAAAATTACAAATGTTGCATTTTATTTCACGGTATTGGATCTGTGCCTTTTTAAAGATGTATTTTACTTATTTGAAAGGCAAAGTGATGGGAGAGACAGAGGAAGAGATCTCCTCCTCCGGTTTGCTCCCTAGATACTGTAGTGGCTTTGGCTGCACCTGAGGCTGGGAATCTGGAGCTCCACCCGCTCTCCTGCATGGGTGGGAGGATCCCAGCCACTGGAGGATCGCCTCTGCTTGCAAGGGCCCACATCAGCAGGAGGCTGGGATTGGAAACAGCGCTGTGGAGTGAACTACTGAGGTGTCTGATTAGGTCAAATGTGTGCTCCATGGGATTTTCAATTCCCAGACACTTAACACTGTCATGTTAAAGGAGATAAAGATAAAAATGCAAATATAATATCCTAAGTTTATTCAAGATAAAGTATGCAGTATCTTCATGTCTAAAACGTAGCATCTTAGATATAATGTGAAAATCAGAAAGAAATAACCCCAAAGTATTGGCAATTCTATTTGAATGGAAAGGTCATAAGGACTTTTGTCTTGGTTTTCGTATTGTCTAAATGTTCTGTGTTCTGCATTGATTCTCCACTGCTTGCACGTATAGCATCTCAGAGTTTGGCATCATGACATGTTGGGTTGAGCTGCCACCTGTCATGCCGGCAGCCTGTAGCAGCACCAGTTTGAGCCTTGGCTGCTCCGTTTCCTGGTCAGTTTCCTGTTGGTGCAGCAGAAGGTGGCCTGGTACTCGGGTTCCTGCCACCTGTGTAGGAGATCCTATGGGCTTCCTTGTTCTTGGCTTAGCCTGCCCAGCCCTGGAGTGAGCCATTCGAAGTGAACCAGTGAATGAAGGATCTCTCTTTCTCTCTTTCTGAAACTCTACCTTTCAAAAAAAATCCATCTTTTTTGAAAAGGTAGAATCACAAAATTATTGAGAAAATATGTAACTTTTAATATTTGATTCTACATGTCTTATGGGTTTTTTTTTTTCATTCTGTAAGCCAGGAGGTACTTCAGGTTCTTTCTCTTCCTCTTTTTAATAATTTATTACATTTTGTTTTGCAGATGAGAAGCATGAAGGGCTGTGTTGTGAGAATGAATTACACACATCATTGGTTTGTAAAAAAATGTAGTCATTAGGAAAAAAGATGGACTGGCACGTTACACTGGCATCGCAGGTACCCCTTGGAGAGTGTGACTGTCCACCTGTGTGCTCTGCCGTGCATTGCTGGAGAAGGCTCCTCTTTCAGAGTGGGTCATCGCCAGGAAACACTGGAAAACTGCAACGTTGCAGGAAACTTCAGGAAGTAAATCACAGAGAACATGGGATGTTTGTGTTGGGTTTTATGTAAGATATTGTAGGAATCTTATCTTTTAAGCACAGCAGGAAACTTGGGACTGGCACCACCAGCCAGTCACACCCCCAGTCACACTGGCCGGTGGTGCTGTCCTCTCGGGGGGCTTGAGGGCTGCTCCCGGGTCCCTGGTGAGTTCTCACCAGTTACTGAGAGTCCTACCCTCTTAGGCACATAAACTGATAGTACACATTTTCTGTAGCTTTTTCTAACGCTCTGATAAGCATCCGTTTGCGATGGTAACTTCCTACCTAGTTGATAAAAATAGCCCCACTTCAAATACCTGGTGTCTTTAAACTTCTGAGTTTTTACTAAACCATTGATTTTAATTATTCATGTGGAAGATTATCTGTAAGAAAACCCAAGTTGGCATAAAGAAAGTCTGCCTGTTACTTTACCGAAAAATCACATTTCTCCAGTGTAGGATTTTAAGTAGCAGCTTTGCTTATTTTGTTAAATAAAATGGGAATATGAAGATTCTCTGGCACACCTTAAGGCAACTTTTGATGGACTTTGCACTTTATTACTCAACGTCCAGGGGTCTTCCATGTGTTTGGCTAGCTTGGCTTGCAGATCTTTTAGACAGCAAATACAAAATCACTGTGTGTAGCTGCGTATCTAATGAAAGATGTATATCATGACAATTGTATGCTTGGAAAAGTTCTGAACATACTGAAAGTGCATTCCTGACTTAGAGCTAATAATGGTGTTATTATCCATGTGTTGATCTGCCATGTGACTGTGCTAGCACATGGCTATGCCGGTGAGAGGGGTTGCAGGCAGTGGACGCTGCTGCTGCTGCCGCCGCAGGACACATGTGGTCTAGCCCCTACCTCATTCTCTCCACTGCCTCTGTGCTGCAGCCACAGGCAGCTGCTTCTGTTTCCACGTGGCTGTATTCATCCCCTCAGGGCTTTGTTCATGTTACTCCCTTGGTGTAGAGGTTTTTCTCCCGGGTTCTTTACAATCTGATTGCACATAATTGAATTCGGAAGGCCCTACCCCCAGTCCAGAGTCATTTTTTCTCAAGGAAGCCTTTCCAGACCCTTTAAGGTAAAAGGTTCTTTTGAAAGTTCTATGATCTTTGGGAAACCCTGAACTTCTTAGCTTACCTCAGTTTATAATGCAATATTTGTGATGGTGCGAGTGTCTCTGTCTTCCTTAGACCGTAAGCCCCATGAGGGCAGGGTCCAGGTCTGTTTTGTTAATACTGGCTGTTATACACTGTGCCTACCGCAAAGCAGGCATGAAATAAAGAGATTTCTGAATAATGCACAAATTGAAAGGAGTAAATTTTTGGAAGGTAAACTGGCAATATCAATAAAGACTTCTAACGGGATGGTGACAGATTGCATGATTTTCGACTTAGCAGTTCTAAGAATTTGTCTTAAAACCACTGAAGAAGCATACATGAATGTGTTTTAAGAAAGTAGCTTCATTACATGATGGTATAGACCAGAATAGGAAACTATACACATTTTTCTTAAAAGATTTGTTTTATATATATATATATATATATATTTTTTTTTTTTTATTGGAAAGGCAAATATACAGAGAGGAGATACAGAAAGATCCTCCATCTGCTAGTCCACTCCCTAAGTGACCACAAGGGTTGGAGCTTAGCTGATCTGAAGCCAGGAGCCAGGAGCTTCTTCTAGGTCTCCCACACGGCTGCAGGGTCTGAGAGATCTGAATCTGAGAGTGGGCCTGGTGGAGAAGCTTAGGAACTCCCCTGGTGGGTTGTAGTTCTTACTGGTGAGCATGTGATTCAGAACTAGGTGTTTGACAGGCTGGACAAGGTAGTTCTACTTGTCGGCAAGTGTGGGATGGCTCTGGAGGGGGGTGGAGCAGGCAGGGGCAGGCCAACCTAAGCTCATTTGCATGTGCAGGAGCCAGGCTGGAGTGTGGGTATTGCCAGGCGAGGCTGTCACACCTGCCAATTTGCGTGAACCAGGGATGGGAGCAGGCTGAGCAGAGTGCGTGTATCAGAACTGGGCATCTTCAGTGGCTTTGCCAGAGTAGTAGATGTAATACCCAGATGCGCATGGAGGATATGGCAGTCCATTGGAGCCTGCAGAAGACATCTGGTACCACAGCAGAGTAAGGAGGACAGAACGAACTGCTCAACTGCTCTAGCCAAGCATTGACAGAAAATGTCTGGGCAAGTGGAGACTGTAAGGTGGACTATGTCAGCCACTGAACCTCGAAAGGGTTTCCTTATCCTTGGATTGGTGAGATAGACAACATTTCAGAATTCTCGACATCACTTGAGCAGAACACTTGGAGCATGCTCCACATCAGGGACCCTGGGATAACATCAGGTGGCCATTCCCCATCCCTGGGTACTGAGGCGGTTGGGAGGCTGGATGTGGTTTCTCCCCTTTTCTGTTCCTTCCCTTAGATACAGGAAGGAGAAAAAGAAAATTTGGAAACAATGGTCTTATCCACTTTCCCCTAGTCCTCGATCCTTTCCATCATCAACTATGTAAACATCATCAAAAATAAAATTTAAAGAAGAAAAAAGGGATATATTTGTAATTTCATTGCAATACTATTCACAGTGAGATATTTTTGTCAATAATGTATAGATTTGGAATAATTCATATTGATGCCATTTTGGGGGGGGCATTCTAGTACTGCCATTTGAGACCAGCCCAAATCATACCTGGAGGGTGTGCTTGGGGGGTGCAAGTGGCAGAAGCTGGCCATTTCTTGGGTTTGAAGTGGGAACAAGACTGGAATTAAATACGGTAACCTCATGAAAAGAAAGAGGACAGAACAAATCAATCAACTACCCCAGCCATATGTTGGCAGTGAAAAACTGGGCAAACGGAGACTCTAAGGTGAACTATGTCAATCAGTGGATTCTGCAGTGACCACATCATGCTTGGAATGGCGATATTGGCAGCAATTCATAACTGTTGAACCATCAAAACCACTTGAGCAAGACCCTCGGAGCATGCCCCACATCAGGGACCTGGGATGGGTGGGAGGCTGGGTGGGGCTTCTCCCTTTACCTCCCCCTTTACCCCAAAAATAGGGAAAAAATGTGGAAATGATGGTCTTACCCACTTTCCTGTAGCCCTTGACCCTTTGTGCCCTAGTTAACTATGTAAAGATTGTAAAAAATAAAATGAAAAAATGAAAAAAATATGGTAACTTCCCTGTATTTCTGAGTGGAGGATGATGATGCCATTTAAACAGTGTGACCCCAGGTGGGAAGCTGTACATCTGGGAAAAAATTGAGTTCACTGTTAGCCTTGTGGACTTCACAGTGCACAAGAGGCTTGCATGGACAGAAACTCAGCTTTGAAATGTGAGGGACAGTTGCCCTGGAAAGAAGTCTATGAGTCATCAGGGAGCTGGCCAGGAAGAGCATGGGGTGAACAGAGAGGCATGCAAAGGACCAAGGGATGGGACATACCCACCACGGAAGGGGGCAGGAAGAGGTGTGGTCTGCGAGTTGCAGGGTGTAGGTGACAATGACAAATGGAGTGTAAAGATCAAGCAGGAGGGGGCTGACAGTGCACATTCAACATTGACTAGCAAGTCATTGGTGCATTGTTGAGAACAGTTTCAGTAGGTTGTGGTGGTGGGGCGGACTGCAGCCAGGTCTAATAATCTGGGGTATGAACTGAAGCTGGAAGCTGCAATAAAAAGTGTAGCCTACCCTGGCAGAGAATGAAGTGATGACAGGAAGCATAAGCAGTCCTCAGTGGCTGCTCTCTGCTCGCCAGGTTAATGCTTTAGAAAGGTCTCTTTGTTAATGTGATTTTCTGCTTGTAGAGTAAAACATTCTCCGACTCTATGATACTTTAATTTCGTTAAAGTAGCATTTTTTCCTCTCTCATGATTTAACAGCTATAAAAATGCAGAGCTAAGGCTTGCTGAAAGATGTTTTGTTTCTTATCATGGAATTCTTCTGGAAGCTATTACCTTTGAAGTTGGTTGATATATTTAAAAAACGCAATAAAATAAAAGGTTGGGAAATTGAAATACTAAAGAGATTTATCTTATTTATAAGAAAGATAATGAGAATACATAAATTTTTAAGCTCAAGTAAAATTTAATTGCAATCGGTTTTGAAAAAAATCCTTTTTATTTTCTTTGAAATATGGGCTAAAAGGAGCAAGTTAAAATGCATGCAGGTAAGTGTGTTCTGGAATTGCTTTGAATCAGAGTTGGTGGGTGGTAAAAGCAAATAAACCTCAAATAACTTGTGATGTGGCATTATGAATACACCTTCATAAATTGGGTTCAGCAGTAATTATAGAAAAACATACACGGGAGACTCGTTTGCTAAATGTTTATTTACTTCACAAAGAGTACCTGTATGTTCAAGCCTCTGCTAGATCCTGTAGGCAGAGAGCCAAGAGGGTTTAAATAATTGTTAGGAGAGGAGATGTTCCTTGAGAAAGCCATGGGAGACGGTTCAGGAAGAGAAGAGAGACGGTCCCTCTGATGGGTGCACAGGGTGGCTTCTTGGAAGAGATGGCATTTCAGCTGTTTTCCAAGAGACAACAGTGGGTTTTTTTTTGTTTGTTTTTTGCTTTGATTAATCCATTTCATATGACACCCTCAACTACTCTCATTTCCTCTCTTAAAAAAATGTATTTATCAGGCAGATTGAGAGAAAGAGAGGATGATTTTCCATCTCTTGGTTCACTTAGATGCTCACAGCAGCTGAAACTGGGCCAGGCTTAAGTCAGGAATTGGGAATTGAAGCCAGGTTTTCTAGGTGTGCGGCAGATCCAACTGAAGCTACAGACAGTTGCACTGGCGGGAAGGAGAGCTGCAGTGGAAGCTGGGCCATGGATGTCTTAACTTTCATGCTCAGTGCCACTCCCTCCTGCCTTGCAGCTGTTCCCTCAGTTGATCTTCCAATGCTCTGTTGTCCTACAGCAGCTCTTGTCCCTAACTCTGTCAGAATTCTGGTTCCTATATATCCCAGGTCCTCTGTCCCTCACCTCTCCCTCAGTTAAACCATTTACCGGTGCAGCTCTGAATATCACCCTGCCCAGGCCACTCTGACTCCAGAGCTTGGGCCTAAGGTGACCTGCACTTACATCACGTATTTTCAACACAAAGTCGCATCAGCAGTTCAGGTGCACTTTGTCTGAAGATGAACTCACCCAGAGTGCACTGTGCCTCCTGCCTTTCTCCCTCACTTTCTTCCCACCTACCAAGGGTCTGCTTAGGGTAGATTATCACTCTGTTGATTCCTCTGGGTCAGAATCTTGGAGTCATTTCATTATACCTTCCTACCAATAGTGTCTAAGAAATCATTGATTTCTGTATCTTGAACTGCAGTTCCATACCTTCCACTTACTTCCTATCCATTATCTGTGTATCTGGATTCCTGCCATGGTTTCCGATCCTCTCCCTCCTGTTCACAGCTTAGACATACTGTGCTCAAATGACTGGAGGCAGAGGAGAGAAGCGGACCCTGGAAAGATGCCAGATTCTAAAGATACCACTCTGAGCTTCTACTTACATGACATTTTGGAAAAGGCAAAACTACAGGGATGAAAAACAGATCATGGGCGGCCCAGGGCTACAGCTGAGCTGTTAGGATCAAAAGGGCACTTTTGAGATGATGGGAGAATTTTATATCTTGATTGCAGTGACATTTGCATGAATGTCATTTTTAAGACAGAGCTGTACATGAAAAGGGTAAATTTCAGTGTATGTAAAGTATTTCCAAAAAAAGTATAAATCTGAAAAAAAGAAGGTAGACCAAGGGCTTAAGAATGTGAACTTAGGTGGGTGGAGGTTTTGTGTGGGAGTGTGCAGAGTGGTAGACAGTGGGCCCACGTGGATTCCAAACACTGAGTGTGTGGGGAGAACTGTGAATGAATGCTCAGCTGGGACTGTGTTGTGATGGGCCTGGCAGGCCAGCCAATGCAGTCTGAGCTTTCCCCTGTAAAAGAGGATTTCAAGAGGGGCTCATCAGTGGGGAGGGAATGTTGTACAGAAAGTTCTCTTTCGGTGCTTGCATAGTAGCTTAGTGCTTGTGACACCATCATCCCACGTGGTCACTGGTTCATGTCCTGGTGGCTTCACTTCCAATCCAGTGCTCTGTTAATAGCCTTGAAAAGCAGCACAAGATGGCCAAGTGCCTGGGTCTCTGTCACCCATGTGGGAGATCTGGATGAAGCTCATGCCAGCTGCAGCCATTTGGGAAGTGACCAACAGATGGGGGATTCTCTCTCTCGTGACTCTTTCAAATAAATAAGGAAGTCTTTAAAAATACTTTCTCAAAGAAAGCCCAAAGTTGCGATGTGGGATGGCTCTGAAGGAAGGCAAGCCAATCTACAGCCTTGTAGACTTTGCTCTGTT